TTGATTCAGCACTTCGTGGTTTTAATATTTTTAATTTTTCTGACGTCGAAACTGATATTTTACTTCCACGCTTTGAGCAATCTGTGACCAACGTCTTAGTGATTTTGGAATTGATTTCTCTGTTTTCATTGTTTTTACATGTCATTACATATGTAATGATGTAGCGATAAATTCAAACATCGGGTCTGTTTTGATATTTAAAGGTATTTCGCAGGTTTCTTTTCAAAAAAGTGATGAAAATATATCTGACATAAGGTGGGTACTAGCAGGTGGTATGCAGCTCAGGGTCAAACGAAGTAGTACAGTTGCGCTCGAATTCATCCCAATAATTCCATTATTATGTGTGATTTTCACACCGTTTGTAAGAGCGATTTCGGTAGTGATGCGTGTTCGTTAATCCATCAAAATTTGCTTTTTTTTTTCCGCGAAAATTAAATTTTGTATTAGGCTTTGGTGCCAAAGGCAGTGTTGACCAAAGAGGATGGTGATTCTGGGGATGTGAATGACTCCGAACAAGCGGATAACGAAAACAACAATGAAAACAAAGTGGATCTGGCGGAGTGGATGCTATCGAAAGGCTGTGCAAAGCTGACCACCTCTTGGAGCAGTTATCCACTGATCAATTTGCTCGCGGACGGCAAACGCGAATATGAAATGATTTTCACCGAAGTGAATGGGCAGAGCATTCGTGCCTTGCCTTGCGATTTCTCCGATCTCGCCACTAAAATGAAAATGGTACTTTTTTACAAGTGGTTTAATGACGGTAGAGTGGGAAGTGGGAGCTCAAGATCTGACAACGTGTGCTTTGTCAGATAAGCCATCACAGCCTACCCGTAACCGGCAAAATACCCTATTGTGGTCTAAGAGTAGCAGCGCTCGAGGCGAGTTGATAATGTTGAGCACATACGAAAGCTACTCAGAGTTCTAGCCTGGGCGGAATCATTGTGATGTGAGAGCGGCATCGGAGTAGGCATTGTTCGAGATACGCGTGATATACATTGTCTGCCTGAGCG